TTTTAGTTAAATTTTTTGTATTCGTAATTTGAATGACGCATTGATTAAATATAATTAAAAAGGATACATAGCTATATGACTCGTAAAACTATTTTTTACGACGATCAGCAAGAATTACCAAAATTTATGATACGTTTTTGTATATCACCAGTTTATCATTAAGTAACTTTTAATTGTGTCCGGTAAAACCTAACTGGGACACCCTCAATTTAAGAGAAACAATAATTATAAATATTTATATATATATATATATATATATATATATATATATATATATATATATATATATATACGTAAATATACGTAAATATATAATATTTTATATAAATACGATGCATTCTTGACGTTATACACAAATGAAAAAAAAAACTTGTTATTCATCCTTTTCACATGACTACATTACTTTAAGTATAAACAAATAACAAAATATCAAATCAAGCATTTTATTTTAATTTTTTTTAAGTTGCGTATATAAATCTAGATAGCTTTCGAGTGTCAAGAAAATTTGACACGACAAACGACAATGTTACTTCGGGAATATTCTTATGGGGACAAATTTTTAATTGATCATATAGCCATATTTTTTGGAATCTCAGTGGATGTTGAATCCACGAAGTATCGATTCTTCTTAGAGGTTTCCAGTTTTGTATTGACGTTATTATTTTGTTTATATTGGAATTGGAAAATCCTTCTTTTTCGTCTTTTCTTCGACTTTTTCCGATTATGAGTTCACCGTTTTAGCTCGACAGCATTTTTTTCTCCCAGTTACCTTTTCCTTGGTCTCTATCTATCATAGAATTTCCTATATACGTTTTCTAATTTCTTTACTAATATTCCAAATCCATTTTCTGAAATATTTCGCTCTCTAATCAGACTACAATTAAATTTTATTTTATTTATATTACCATAGCATTGATCTTTGGAATATGGCCTCATAAGAAAAGTATGATGGAGAAATAAAAATATGGGGAAAGAAGTAAAGGACATAATTTACAAAACAGTCCCTGATACAGAGAGGACAAAAAGGATGTTAGAAACAGCAGAGGTGAAAACACTTAGAAAAATTGATAGGAACACACTATGAGATAGAGCTAGAAGTACAGATATATACAGATATATGTAAATGCAAAGCGAATATCGTCAAATACTGGGTAAGAAATAAAATGGCTCAAATGGAAATGGAGTAGAATGGCTTATACAAGCCGAATGACAACAAATAGAGTAGTTAAGACGGCAAGAGACAGTTCCTCAATAGGAAGACGATCAGTAGGAAGACCACGAAACGATGAAACGTAAACTTATATAAAAAGAAGAAAAAAAAAGAAGAAGATAAGTATTCAAAGGAAAGGCTTCGTCTCCAATTATTACATGAGGTAGAGCTATATTTCTACCTGGTAAATTCTTGCAGGGAGGAATGTTCTTAAGCCTTGCTGTACCAAGCCACTGTCTACGGGTGCCTGTATCACTTATCACTACATGTTTGCCGCCTATCGTTCCCAATAAATTTGGGAAGTTCCATTTATTACGAAATTCTTTTTAATTCTATTTTTGGTTCTAAAACCATCTTCAATATGTTGCATGAGGTTAATGGTTTGGCTACAGCAGAACTTTTCGGGTCTGAATCCTGATTTCTGTGGAATAATTTTCTTCTCCACAAAGTCAGCACCTCGGTTTAGTATCAATTTTTCGAACTTTTCGAATTTTTCGTACAGATGCAGCAATTTATCATTCGTACACGCTACTCTACGGTTATTAATTAAAAGTTCTTTATTTGTTCTATTCGTATTTCGTTTAGACTGGCTATTTATTATGTTTTGCTTTATGCATCATACCTATTAACTCCTCAAGACTAAATCAGGTACCTAGAATATCACTTTTGTTAATGATCTTTCGTTGTATTTTCCCCTTGTTCTTCGTCGATCCCGACCTATCGGTCATTTTAAGAGACTGGAATATCTGGTCAGGTGTGACTTCTGCTAATCAGCCTCCAAACGCGTCTGTTGGTTTGATTCATGTCCAGACCTGTCACCACTTGCATCACGTGTTCGTTCTGTTAGCGCAAATTGCATATTGTTGCATTGTTGTTTCTGAAAAACGTCATCCTCATATGTCATATAGCTTCTCGTATATACTAATTATGGTTTAGGAAGACGAGATAGGATAATTTGGCGACATCGTTTTCATTTCCCTCGATTCCAGAGGGAGAAAACGCATAGAAAAACGTTCGGTATATCTTCTCCTTACGGTGCCTTATCCTTAAGGACGTTGGCCATTACATTTGCCCATTTAATCTTATTTGTAGCAGCCCTGAATAGTTCTATGGAGGCCATGTTCGTCCATTGCCGTAGGTTTTTAAGCCAAGCGTTGCGTTTTCTTCCTGGTCCTCTTTTGCTATTGACTTTGCCTTCGATTATAAGTTGGAGCAGTTCATACTTTTGATTTCTTATGATGTGACCAAAATATTGTGTTTTCCGTTCTTTTATTATAAGCATAAGCTCTCTTTCCTTATTCATACTCCGCAAGACTTCCACACTTATCGTATGGCTCATGTAGGATATTCTGAGCATTTTACGGTAACACCAGAGTTCGAATTCTTAGATTCTTTTTTGTGTTGCTTTTGTCATTGTCCAGGCTTCAGCATCATAGAGCAAGGTGGAGAAAACATAGCACTTAAGTATTCTAGTTCTCAATAAGATGCCCAGCTGGCGGTTGCATAGAACTTTTTGCATTTTGTAAAACATTGTACGTGCCTTTTCCAGGCGTATTCTTATCTCTAGTGAGTGATCCCAAGTTTCATCAAGATTGCTTCCAAGGTACGTTGTTCTTGTTACTCTTTCCAGATCTGTTCCGTCGACATTGACCTTCACCCTTCTCTTTTGGTGCTTGCTGATGACCATCGTTTTTGTCTTCTTTGTATTCAATTTCATTCCAAATTATCTACAGGCTGTCGTTACTCGGTCCATTAAGCGTTGCAGGGCTTCAGCATTATCTGCCAGTATGACAGTGTCATCAGCATATCGCAGGTTATTTATACATTGCCCGTTTATAATTATACCATCCGAGGTGCCTTCCAAAGCTTTCTGAAATATCTTTTTAGAGTAAACATTGAACAACAAAGGTGATAGGACACATCCTTGTCTTACTCCCTTCTCGATATTGATTTTTCCAGATGTTTCGTTTTTTATTCTGATTTTAGCCTTTTGTTCTTGGTAGAGGTTTGAAATGATCCTTAAGTCTTTATCGTCGATATTACATAACCTTAAAATATCTATTAGTTTAGCATGTTTCACCAGGTCATATATCGGTATATACTACTTAAAATCTCCACTTTTAACCACAATTTATTGTTGATAAAAAGTAATACTTATTCTAAAATAATATGTGAGGACAAGGGGTCTAAGTAACATTAAAAAAAAATGAGTTAGGTGCATGAATGAGTTGTGAAAATACTAATCTATTTGGCGGTGAATAGATCCAAGTTATTGTTTTGATAGGTTCTGACATCTAGCGTGGTGCACCTTAACCACTGAGTATTGATAAGTTCAAACGTCGAACGCTAGGGGTCCAAAAGCACTTAGATCCCTTTACCACGATTCCACAAACCATCACAGTTTAATTGTAGTTGACATAAGTGTTATTAAGAACAATTGTGTAAATTGGAGCCGGAAGGTCAGATAATAGAACAAGTGATAGGGTTTAAATAATATCTAGGCAGCACATTACCTAGCTACAGAAAGCTCAAAACCGAAGTGGAAGATCAAGGGAATAGAGTAAACAGAACTGCAGGCTGCCTAAATGAAACAATATTAAGAAATGAAAATAGGAAGACGATCAGCAGCAAGACCACGAAAACGACGGAACGACAACTTACAGGAGGCACATTGAAAAACATACAGTCATGTCTATATAAAAAGAAGAAGAAGAAGGTTGGTTTTTTTAAACTCTTGACATTTCTAACAAAATGATAAGAAATGTTATTATTAAAAAAAAAGAAAAATCCATCCGGCGTATCACAACGTGACAAACGAGGAAAGAAGGAACCGCCAAACAAAACTCCAACAAACAAAGTGGAGATAATTATGGAGCTCATAAGAAACTCTCAGAATTACTCAAGCCATTACAATAGAGCTAAATCTCCAAACCAAAGATACCTAAACCCAGGCTTAAATGTGCCAATTAAGTATAAAATGTACGAAAAATTTTGTAAAAACAAAAAAATGTGGAACCTGAAAAAGAAAGTTTTTACAGATTTATATTTAAAGCAAAATTCAATCTAAGCTTCCACATACCTCACATCGACACCTGTGTCACTTGTGACAAATTACAAATGAAAATTAGTCACGGCACGCCTGGTAAGAAGCAAACAGCTTAAGTTGAAAAAGAACTTCATTTAAGTAAGGCAGAGGCAGCTAAAGAGACTAAAAGAAAGTGCAAATAATTAAAGAATGACAGTTAAGTTGCGATATACTCTTATTTGCAAAAGATGATGCCGACACCTTATGTGACAAATTCCAAGGCCTATTATTTGCACCAACTCTTGATGTACAATTTGAATATTCACAACCTAACAAGTGAAACAACCCATATGTATATGTGGCAGGTAGCGGCTGCCAGGAGATAGCTTTTTGTTAAAATTCGTTCAGAGTCTTTCTCCGTCTGTGAAACACATCTCTGCGATCAGTGACAATTGTGGAGGGCAAAACAAAAGTCACCTAATTGTCAAATTTTGGCTTTATATTGTTAAGAATACTCAAATTAAAACTGTTGATCACCACTTTTTAGTCGCTGGAAATTCCTACAATGAATGTGATAAAGATTTTGGAATCATAGAAATTAAAAAGATGGAGAACCAACGTGATATCTATGTACCAGAAGACTGGATAAATCTGGATGCCTCAGCAAGTAGAAAATTTAATGTGATTAAGTTAATGGACGCAGACTTTATTGATCTTCAATTACTAAATCAGTACTTCCAAAAAAATGTGCCAGGGATACGAGAAATGCAGACACTCTTTTTATCCCAACCCAAGACAACATCAGCAGAGGGTATTACGCCTTACCAGCTTCCCATGTTTCAACCGGTTATTGAAAAGCCCAAACTTAAATACAAAAAGTACGAAGATCTTATGGAACTTTTGCAATTCGTCCTACCAACATACCATGAATTTTACCTAAGTCCACCTCCCGAAACAAAGACTGGAAAGCCTTTAGCTACAGATGCTTTTGTAGGCAATGAAAATGATGATAATCACTTTGTTAACAACATTTATGACACAGATGACAGCAATTAAATAGTTTTCAAGTGCGAACATATAATATTTTCTGATTTTACAATGTCATGTAAAAATAACATACAAAATAGTTGTTTAAATAATAATAAAATCACTTATGTATTATTGTGCACTTTAAGCATTTTCATTCTCACAAAATTAATGAGCAGTAAAGGGATTTATGTGCGCAACATCAATTATTTGTTATACATAAAACAATAACCGAATATTGTAATACTTTCTGCTATTGGCAATAACAACCCAAAGATCTCGTTATCCTTCTTACATGGTCAAAATAATGCAATTTTAAATTTCCCTCTTACAATACTTCCGACTTTGACTTGAGTTTATTCAAAATGTTGATTTTCTTAGACCCCTTGACTTCTAGAGGGCTCATTTATTTAAAACCAATAAGATTAAAAACGAATCTGGAACCACAATATTCATGATCTAAAAAGTACGTATCAATCTGCCCTTAACATTATAAAAACATTATAAAACACTGACCCTTATGTATAAGTCATTGATCAGGTCCAAACTCAATTACGCTTGTATTATTTATTTATTATTTATTATTTTATTTATATATTATATATCAGCAAAACCATATATGATAAAACAACTCGATAGAATACAAAATGGTGCTTTGGATTTCCGATGAAAACAACTTTTACTAACATATGCGGCATCAATACAGGCAAATCCTATGAACCCTGTTAACCACTTTGTAAATTCAGACCGTTTTGGGAAGTGGAACTCGCTTATTACGGCCTCGGTAGTTACGTCATCTCGGTTATAACGTCAATTTGTAATAGGTCCGGTCAAAAATTATTCCATAACGTTATTAAAAACCCGGTTTTATCGGCTAAAAATAAACTAACCCTCGGTTATAGCGTCATAAAATTTTATAGTAGGTTATCCTTTTTTTATTTTATGAAGAATAAAGGTGCAATGCGTTTCTGGCTTTGCGGCATTTGTTGCTTCCAAGAATGTAAGAAAGGTCCATTATCCCTTCTGTGTACAGTTATGTTACCCTGACAATCTATAATTTCGCATTTATCAGTGCCGTCCTAACACTCCTAACAGTCAAATTTTCTGTTTCGGAACAGTCGGTTTAAGAAATTTTCGCTACGTTTTGTTTTTTTTTTTATTTTAATTTGGTAATTAGCTTTTACTTTTTAACATGGCAAGTTGTAGCACTAAAAGGAAGGTTTTGCCTATTAAAGAAAAAGTGCGTGTTATAAGAGCATTTGAAAGTGGTCGAAAAATTGCTGATGTATGCCGGCAATTTGGACTTGTTAATTCGACTGTCGGCTCAATCATAAAAAACAAGGACAAAATTTTAAAAGCCTTTAAAGAGGACGGAAACAATGTTAAAAAGATTAGGAAGTGCATTCGTGGTGATGTAGATTCAGCTCTACTCAAATGGTTCAAGCAGTGTCGCAGTTCTGATATCCCTGTGTCCGGGCCACTTTTAAAGGAGAAAGCTACAGAGTTCGGAAAATTGTTTGGTGAATATTTCACATGCTCTAACGGCTGGTTAGATCGGTTTAAAGCCAGGCACTCAATTTCCTTCTCGAAAATTGTTGGAGAGGCAAAATATGTGGACGAGAACGTAACAAGTGACTGATTACAAAACACATGGCCACAACAAAGGCACCCATACAAAGATAAAGATATCTTTAATGGTGACGAGACAGGTGTCTTTTATAAATTAACGCCAGACAAAACTTTAAATTTCAAAAATCAAAAATGTGTCGGTGAAAAACTTTCCACTGTGCCATTATCGAAAACAGCTTTTAAAAAGAATGATTTTTTGTATGGATAATGGAGAACCTGTGAACATTACCATCCTGGATGCTGTTCAGTTTTTAGACAATGCGTGGAGTGCGGTTACGTCAGTGACAATTCATAAGTTAAGCAAAATTGACTGTAGCTTCTCTCAATGTTGAGGACGTTGATAAAGATGACGAAATGCCTTTGTCAGAGTGGATACAAAAATTTAATGTGAATCAGGGAGCGTTCGGAACTGATCTTGACTCCTACATTTCAGTAGACGATGAGGTAGAAACATTTCAAGTCCTAAGTGATAAAGAAATTGTTGAACTGGTGCAAAACGTGGAAATGGATGTCGATGAAGCTGAAGAAGAAGAAGACATCGTTGCTTGTCCTACAATCCAAGAAGCAATGAGAGCTGCTGAGACCATATCCAGGTTTTACCAGTTCAGGAAGGCATCCACAAATACCAAAGAAGCAGCTCAGCTTATTAAGGAAACAACAGAAAAACTTTATTTTTCGGAAAGGGTTGTGCAAAAGAAAATAACGGACTTTTTTCAGCAATAGAACTTTTTTACACAATGTAAGTTTCATATACATACATAATATGTTTTGTTTTTTAATTGTTTTTTATCCTAAAATGATTCTTGTTTTTTTTTTAAATTTGACTTAAGTAAATGTTATATTTTCGGTATATCCTCAACTATGTTAAATTATCATGTTTAGGCCCAGAGTAATTAACAAATAATATATCTACTATACCCAATAAGACTGTAATAATATTTTCTCTCATTAAAATTTTATTTTTCTCAACCTCTTTTTTAACGTCACTCTGATATAGCGTCATTTTTTTATTGGACCCTTCAATGACGCTATAACCAAGTTCCACTGTATCTTTAAAACACAAACACAGGCTTGACCTTCCTTTTTATGAAAGGGTAAAGAATTACCTTAATGCACTTGAATTCAAATTTCCAGATACCTATTGTATACCCGATATTAACACTGTTCCCCCTTGGACTGTTCCCATCCCATCTATCAATACCAAACTCTCCCTATATAAAAAAGAAGATAACCATCCCAAAGCATTATATCAATATCTCCTCCAAGAACTAAAGACATACAGTAACCATAATCTTATATATACCAATGCCTCTAAACCTATAGATGGAGTGGGAGCAGAACTTATGTCTAATAAAACAAAAATATTTAAAAACATTTACACAGACGAATTAACCGCTATTCTCAATGCAATAAATTTTGTAGTAGAAAATAGTATCAAAAACCCGCTCATTATTACGGATCCCCTTAAGTTCTGTAATTGCCCAAAATAACTTATATCCTAGCCATCCAAGTCTACTACTTATTAAATCAGAATTAAGCCAACTGCAAACTGTGAACATAAATGTCAACTTTGTATGGATTCCTTCCCATATCGAAATTGCTGGTAATGAAGAAGTAGATTCCTTGGCAAAACTAGCAATCTCGAGTCCGGAAGCTGTTGAAATCAGAAGGATTTCACATCTAGATATAAAACCAATAATCAAGAACTTAATAATCAATGAATGGCAGACCAAGTGGAATCAGTCAACATCCAAACTACGAGAAGTAAAACATCCCATAAACATCTGCTGGAGAGTGAATTAAAACCACAGTGCTACGTATGTGATATTGTGCTCAGTGTTCGCCATATTTTACTGGAGTGTCCTTTATATTGCATGGAGAGACTTCAATATAAATTACGAGATACGTTACAGGCAATATTAAGTGACGGAATTGATATGAAAAATTTGACTAAATAACTTGTAAAACTATATAATAGTTATTATAATTATTATCTTACTATTACTTGATTATCTATATAATAGCGATCATTTTCCTGTAACAATTGAAACCATTTTGCATGATCAACCAAATATTCCTGTTTACCAAAAATGGAAATTAAACTCAGCAAACTGGGACTTATATAGAGAGCTATTAAATAATTATCTTACTAACTTTATTCTAGAAGATAGCATAGATTCATCTCTTCATCATTTCAATGATACTATAGTAAAATGCGCTAATATTGCAGTGGGAAAAACAAAACCTTGTAAACGAAAACCAGTACCATGGTGGAGTGAAGAAATAGCCTTAGCTATGAAATCTAGCAAACATGCTTTCAATGTTTTAAAAAGACATAAAACAACAGAATATGTTATCAATTTTAAAAAACTTAGAGCAAAAACTATATATCTTATTAAGAAAAGTAAAAAAGAAACATGGTCAAATTATGTCTCTACCATAAATTCATCAACACCTATGACTACAATCTGGAATAAAGTTCGTACATTAAAAGGTGAACAAAACTCAATTCATATTAACACTCTTTATTATAAAAACAAATTAATATCTTCCAAACAAGAAATTAGTAATATTATGTCAGATGTTTATAAGAATAATTCAAGCAATGCAAACTTCAATCCCGCATTTTTAGATTTCAAAAATAAACGTGAAATGACAGATATATCTATAATAGATAGTGATAATCCACTAAATTTCCCCATCACATATCAAGAATTTGAAGAAGCTCTAGATAAATCAAAAAACACTTCATCGGGTCCTGATAATATACCAATCATATTTATCAAAAACTTGCCGTACATAGGAAAATTAATTCTCTTAGACATTTTCAATCACATTTACCTTAATAAAAAATTTCCTTCAATCTGATCTGAATCAACAATTATTCCCATATTAAAACCTTTCAAATCAAAAACTGACCCACTTTCCTATAGACCAATTTCTCTTACAAATAATACATGCAAACTACTAGAAAAAATTTTAAATAACAGAATAATGTGGTTTCTTGAAAAAAACCAATTATTAAGCCATATCCAAAGCGGTTTCAGAAAAGGCAGATCAACTCATGATGCCTTAGTAGCTATTGACAATATTATATGTGAGTCCTTTAGAAATAACCAGAAAGTAATTGCCATATTTTTTGATATAAATAAAGCATTTGATACTGCATGGAGATACATTTTACAAACCATGTCCAATTGGGGTATCCAGGGAAATTTTCTTGCCTTTGTAAAACATTTCATGAATAATAGGATATTTCAAGTACGTGTAAATGGAATTACCTCAAAAACAGAATCTCTTGAAAACGGTATTCCACAGGGCTCAACCTTAAGCCCCACTTTATTCTTAATAGCAATTAATAATATCGCTCAAGAGATAAAGCTACCTTTGAAAGCAGGTCTGTATGCAGATGACTTAGTTGTATGTACTAGTAGCTGCAATATTACACTAGCCTCAAACATTTTGCAATCATTTCTGCATAAACTAGAAGACTGGTTCCAAAAGACTGGTTTTACGTTCTCAGGTGATAAATCTCGTTTCATCGTATTCAATAAAAGAAAAACTGATTGCAAAACAACACTTACTCTAAATGGTATCAACTTAGAACAAGTAGAGACCATTGACTTTCTTGGCCTAAGACTGGACAGTCAGTTAACATGGGCAGAACATATTAAAAAGCTAGTCGTATCCTGCCAATCTAAAATCAATCTCCTTAAAATGCTATCAAACCGATCTTGGGGAGCGGACACCATAAAATTGCTGCATATATACCAATCATTAATCCGAAGTAAACTGGATTATGGTGCAATATGCTATACAACTGCGAGTAATTATATACTTAAAAAACTAGACATTATACAAAACACATGTTCAAGACTAATTCTGGGTGCTTACCGAACAAGGCCTGTTTCAAGTTTTCAGGTTATCCTAAATGAATCTCCCCTATCAATACGAAGACAACACATTTTCTTTATGTTGCGAGATTGTCTTCCAACCCTAATAACACAAACTATCCACTTCTTTATAAAATATATCCACCTACTCATTGCCATCAACAAATTAAATATCCACTCCTTAAAGAACGTCTAACGAAATACGGTTTTGACATGGAGCAACTCACACATTCTTACCCTACACAACGAACTATACCTCCCTGGACTATTAATTTTCCCACTATTGATCTATCCCTCACGGCCTATCCAAAGAGTACCACAAATCCCATAATCATTAACAAATTATATCAAGAACGGATATTAGAATACACTGGCCATAACAAGATTTTTACCGATGCGTCAAGAACTGAAAACGGACACGCAGCGGCCTTTATTCTAGGAAAGTCTGAATATGCAGTTCGCATCCCTCAATTCTGCAGCATTTTCACGGGAGAAGCAATCGCCATTTTAAAGGCTTTAGACATGTGTAAGAGTTATGCAAGCTCAGATTTTCTTATCATTACTGACTCTTTATCTGTTCTTCAGAGCTTAAGGCAAATATATCCAGTACATGCTATCCTGCAACAAATACAATTAGCACTTTATCACCTACAAAACAGACACGTGAACGTTACATTTCTCTGGGTACCATCACATACAGGTATCGCAGGAAATGAAAAAGTAGATGAATTAGCAAAGAAAGCTGCTACTGACGAGCAAACTGAAATTATAACTACAATTCCATTCAGTGATATCCAGCTCAATATTAAACAGTACTGTGTAAAAAATTGGCAACAAATGTGGAATTCTACTAAGGCTAACCTTAAAAACGTGAAAACTAGGATTGGCACTAAACTACAATTTCCAGAAAACAGAAGGCAACAAGTGATTATAAACCGACTAAGAATTGGACACACAGCGTTAACTCACCAGCATCTCATAACAAAAGAACTACCACCTGAATGTTCCTATTGTGAATGTCCAATAACTGTTCAACATGTATTGATTGAATGTCCTCTTTATTCCTACGAAAGAGCCATCAACAACGTACCAGAAGAAGCAAAGAAACTTAAAGATATTTTAAACAGTAATGTATCTAATACAATCAAATTCCTTAAGGACATACGTTTACTACACAAAATTTAAATTATATTTTATGTATCTCTTTGTAATTTGTAATTTATTATGTGTAATTTAATACGCAATTTGTAATTAGTAAATTTGTATTTGTAATAACAACTGTACAATCTGTAAAACCCGCTAATAACCTTTAATGGTTGATGCGGAAATTCTAAATAAAATAAAAAAAAAAAAAAAAAAAAAAAAAACTTGTAAAACTTTAAATAATACAACGCTAATGATCCTATGAGGTTGAGGCATAAATAAATAAAAAAAAATTAATCAAAATTTTTATGGTACAACATTTTTATTTGTTTAAATCTTTCCAATGACCAGACATTTTTAATACTAATATTTTTGTGTACATTTAATGATAGAGTACATATATAATGACACACCCGGTATTCTGAAGACGATCCAAGCACTTTCCTCACCTTACCACGAAGGTTACATTTTGGTGTTTTTTGCTAATGTGTCCAATAGAGACGTAAACAATAAATTATAGTAATACTTAAGCTCTTTCTTTTAGTATTGATACCGTTAACCGTAAGAGTAAGACTGGGTCACGTCTCTCAGTCAGGTGCCAGCAGTTGAAGTAGTGGTTAGTACGGACACTCATTGACCGCGGCAGTTAATGGTCAATTCTTTCGTTTTGATTAAAATTATAAAGACTATTTAATTGCGGTGGTTTAGAAAGTGAAAATGAAGTGTTCGGACATACTTTTGTTTGTTACTATATTAGGTAAGGGCTTCAAAAGTTTCTTATTGTATATATCTTGTACAGTATCGAATGATTTAATTAACCATTTATCGAGGACAAACATATTTAACAATTCTTAAGAATGAGGTTATTTAAGTATGTATACATCCGGAAATATTCAAAATTAAATTCAAGTTTCTCTTTAACATTTTTAAATAATTACATCCAAGACAAATCTCGGAAATACTGTGTTTAACAAAGGTATAATTTCAAATTTGCTGCTCCAGAATATTAGAAATATTTATTAATACATTTGAAACAATATTTCTTTTGAAAATCTTTGGAAGCTTACAAGTTTTATGCTTGTAATATGAATTAAAATAAAAGAGAACCTATTTAATTAGAGATTATCAAATATTACTGTTATAATATTTCAGTGACAAAAAAACATAAAAAAGTGACAAAAGTATATTTAATAATTGTAACAAATATATTTAGATGAATCTAAAGCAAGACAAAAAATACTTTTATGTCAATTCTAACAAAAAATAAGCGTATGTCCAAGAAATCGACATCCCATAGGTTAGAGAAGCATAGTATAGTGCCCCCATAAGTAAACTCTAGAAAAATCTACGAATATCACATCAATATCGAATTAACAACAGTCGTAAAATCAGTCTAAAAATAATATGAAATCATATATTAACATTCTTATATTCAACCTCATATTGGAAGTCAACAAAACAAATAATATTTAACCTTATTGAGGTGATAAATCAAGTAAAAATAAAAAGCGGATATCAAAATATCAAAATTCGTCCAGTAACCCGGGCGGCAAATAGGACCTTACCCCCCAATTTAGTCGGATTGCATGGATTTAGCGGAATATATTTGGATTTAAGCTTGTCTTATCTTTCTTTGTAAAAGTAATATACTTACAGGAGAAGTGTTCTTTTTGTTTTTAAGTGATGAAAACTACCCCTAAGTGAAAAAACACGTATTAAAACTTTTTATGCATTAAAATCTAATTGAATTAAGTAAAATAAACATATTAAATGATAATTTGTACTTTAGTATATATTTTCAACCATGAAAAACTAAAGTTTATGACTTAAATGCTGTTAAAAATGAAATAACGATAATTTTTTATAATGTAAAATACTTAACTGTTGAATTAAAATCAATGAATTCATTTATCGCTTGTGAAATGATGTTTTATTGGTTCTTAACCATTCTTCTTCTTCATGTATCATGTCCTTTCAGAACGTTGGTTACCATCACAGCTATTTTAATTTTATCCACTGCCACCCTAAATGGCATGCTTGTATCTACACCACACCAGTCTCGCAAGTTCTTCAACCATGAGGTTCTTCTTCGTCCTGGACTGCGTTTGCCTGCTATTTTTCCTTGCATGATATTTTGTAGCAATCTATATTTGGGACCTCTCATTACATGTCCGAAATATTCCAGCTTTCTCTGCTTGATGCTTTTTATGATCTCAGTAGTCTTGCTGAGACGTTCTAGTAATGTGGAGTTACGAATCTTCTCCACCCAGAAAACTTTTAAAATTCTTCAATAGCATCACATTTCGAAAGCCTCAAGGCGATTTAGATCGATTTTATTCACAGTCCAGGACTCGACAGCATAAAGTAAGACCGAGAACACGTAGCAGAGAAGTAGGCGGATCCTTAATGCCAATTTTAGGTCTCTGTTACATAACACCTTGGACTCTAAAAGCAACTCTAGCCTGCTCTATTCTGGATCTAATTTCGCCGTGATTTTCTGAATTACAATTTAATTGCTGTCCAAGGTAGACGATTTTATCAACTTGCTCAAGTTTGGTATTATTTACATATATAAACGGTTTTATATTCTGTTGTTTACTTATTACGAGTATTTTGGTTTTCCTTATGTTAAGATCCAGACCTGCCTCCCTACAACTCTCAACGACACTATCCAGTAGTGTTTGCAGATCTTCTTGACTAGAAGCTAGGAGTACTGTATCGTCCGCATATCGCAAATTATTGATGACTTCGCCGTTCACAAGTATTCCTTCTTGTTTTTCAGAAAGTGCTTTTCTGAAAATTCTTTCGGAGTAAACGTTAAAAAGCAGGGGTGACAAGAGGCATCCCTGCCGTACTCCTCTTTTAATATTAAGAGCTTTTGATTCCACACCATCTACTAAAACTGATGTTGTTTGATTCCAATATAAATTTGCAATTATTCGAACATCTCTGCCGTCCAAGCCAATGTCTTTTAGAGCTTCGATCAATATAGAGTGCTTAACACGATCAAATGCCTTTTGAAAGTCAATAAAACAACAGTATATGTCTACAGATATATCACGACATCTTTGAGCAAGTACGTTCATTCCAAACAGTGCCTCTCTTGTTCCAAATCCGTTACGGAATCCAAACTGAGTGTCATCCAGGTATTCCTCACATTTATTGTAGATACGACCATGTATTACCTTCAGAAAAATTTTCAATAAGTGGTTTAACAAACCGATGGTTCTATAATCAGCACAGGTTTTTGCTGTTGTCTTCTTAGGTAGAGCTATAAACAGTGAGTTAGACCAACCATTAGGTAGTTGTCCGCTGGTATAAATGGTATTGAAAAACGAAGTTATAGCCTCTGAAACATTGCTATCCTTTATAAGCTTATATATTTCAGTTGGAATTTCATCAAGACCAGTCGCTTTGCCATCTTTTGATGATTGTATGGCCTTTATAACTTCACAGCGTGTTATTAGGGGTCCGTCGCAGTTAGTAATATCGGGAGGTGAACTACTCCTATCGTCTTCGAATAGGTTCGTGACGTAATTTTCCCATTCTTTAAGTTTGTCCTTTACTTCGAATATTACTTTACCATTTTTATCCTGTAGCAATGCATTTTGTTTATTATTGAAGATACCAGCCGCTTCTTTTACTTCTTTATACATGTTACACGTGTCGTATCTTTTTTCGAGTTCTTCAATGTCATGACACTGTTTGGCTAGATGTTGACTCTTTGCTTCTCGTATTTTACGTCGAATTTCTTTTTGTATGCTATTGTAAAGTGTTTCATTGGTTTTTGCTAGTCGCCGTTGTTCCATCAAATCCAGTATATCATCTGTCATCCAAGCCTGCTTTTTTGGCTTTGACTTAACCATTGGTAAGTTTTTAACCACTAGAAACCACCCCTTTATGCAAAAAAATACTTAAAAAGCCTGTTTATATGTAAGGGAGAGGCTGGTACAGTGGCCACCTTTCGAGTAAATTCAAGATAACTTTAATATAAATCATAATTTATTAATGTGTATCAGCTGAGTATCAACTATAATAATAAGTAACAACGTCAAACCACTTGGTAAATTAAAAATGTACTCTGTAATCCCAAAAAAATTCAGGTTATGCAGGAGTAACTAATTTTGTTTTTTTCAAAAAATGTGGCCACTGTACCAAACTAGACGATACAGTGGTCACAAAGGTAAGGTACAGTAGTCGTTACTTGCAATTCTTAAATTTTTATTTATCATATTCATAAAAAAGACAAGTAGTATTAATTTTTAACAAATATTATAAGATGATAAATCCGCTTTAAAAGTAAACAAATTTGCTGTTCGCTGTGTTGCTCCAGCACTTTTGGTTGGGTTAAAATAAGTTCAACATCTTATTTTGAAATTGTGGCAGAATCTGTAACTGTATGAAATGAAAATTGTATTCCGTGACGCATAAGAAATATTACATTGTATTTCTTGACCAGAAGAAAAAACTTCTGTAACTTGTGCAATATAAAATTTTGAAGTTTTCTTTGTTTGAAACCTCACGAGAACAAATGAATTCACTTCCATCATTCGTGAGGATATGTCTTCGTCAGAAAAAGTAATCTACTTCTGAAAATAAACTATGATCGTCGGAATCCACAACATCAGACAATTCAATGTCACTGTTACTGTCATCACTGGGTTTTGCTGCTTTTATTTTTCTTTGCATTACTTCTATTCGACTTGTTTGAACTATCACTTTTTCTTTTTACTGTTGTCTTAGCTCTCTTCACTCTACTTTGCCTTGATATTCTTTCTGCTGTTTCCGCTTCTATTCATTTATAAATTGGTGTATCAGTTAAAATTTCAGTAGTGTTCTTTTTCATTTGTTTTTTTAATGGCAATAAGGTAGCTTTAGGGTATTGTTACAGTTATTCAGGGGAAATAAATCGATTTTCGGGTGTGTCCTTGGAAATTGCCATCGCTTCAAAAGAAACAACTTTCTTTTCAGGTGTTATTTCCGATGGATGTTTCTGATTTGTTTCTGGTATTTTATCTGGACAAGTTGATCTTAAAGGGAACTGTCAATTTGTGGTATATCACTAACATTTGAATTATTTGGTTGTTACTCACATTAGTAGGCACTTTTACGCCGTCCAATGCAGTTGAAATCCAATAGCAAACATCTTTAACCGTGATCTTCTTAAATGCATCAAGTACAGTCAGCCTCCGCCAATTGTTCCTCTTCATTGCTTCTTTAACGCCTTTTCTAGGAGTTGGATGAAAGACATCACATTGGGTGAAAGGAACAGAGCTCTTATGTTACCACTAATCAATCCATTCGCGTTTTGGTGGGATCATGCGTTGTCTAGCAACAACAAAGCTTGATTTTCCTGTTAAGAGAGGTCTTAATTTTAATGCATCAGAAGCATTGTTGCAGACCATGATTGTGACTCTCTGTTTGCTTTTCTTGTAACCTTGTGCAATTTCTTCATTTTTAAGAGCTAGTGTTTTTGAAGAAAGCATTTTAAAAGTAAGGCCTGTCTTATCACAGTTAATTTAATTAAATGTTCCAATTTCAGTTGAGTCAGCAGAAAGTTTCTCGCCACAAAGTTTTCATTGTCGGATACCATATTTCTTTTTCCATACGTCAATCCATCCCTAACTCGCACAAAAGTTTCCTCGTCCATTCTTAAACTTCGTGTGGAAGTTAACGTCTTTGGCTTAGAGTATTGGACCACTTATTAGGCCGCGAAATCCTCTCATTTGTGAAAACCATGAAAACAAAAACAAATTA